TTTGTCTCAATATTACCCTTCACTGCCAAAATATTGCAAGGGGGTACTTGGACAAGTTGGATAATCAGATGCATCCCATGATCCAGATGCTATTTCCAAACAAGATGTCATTTACAACATGACAGTGCCCTGATCCACACAGTTGGAACCATTCAGTCATCGTTTGAAGAGCATGAAGGTGAACTTCAACATCATCTATGGTTAGCACAATCACCAGATTTGAACATCATTGAACCACTCTGATCAGTTTTGGAGATTAGAGTGAGGAACTGATTCCCACCTCTAAAGAAACTTGAAGATGTTCTTCAAGAAGAATGGTATAAAATTCCACTAGAGACTGTTCAAAAGTTGTATGAGTCTACTCTAAGAAGGATTGTGGCTGTACTGAAGGCAAAATTTGGTCCAACACCATAGTAATAAAGAAATGTGCACAGTATCTGTAGTGTGTCCATTATTTTGTCCAACTTCTGAATACATTTTTCAGATATTGTATTAAATTTTGGGCCATGGGTTCAGGAGAAAATGAAATTAGCAGACCTTTCTGTCCACAAATGAACCTAGTGGAGGTTTTACAAAAAGAACAGTCAATTTAAAGCACATTTCTAAGTGATATCCTCACAGATAAATCTGGCCACACCTTTCAAGGCAATGACTCCATTAAACTAGTAGGTGGTTATCAACATTTTGGAGGCTCCTACTCTGAAACACTTGTTACCACCTGGCAGACTAAATAGTGCCAGAACTCAGTTGATCACAGTATGAATCTAACACTGTCACTAATAACTACTGCTTCCATTGGACATCCAATGATGAAAATATTAAGTAAACTTGGCTGATATGTTGAACTATACAGGATGCTGTACTTTGGGCCTATCAATAAATTTGACATTGGAACCTTATCTTTTGGCTTCAGAGACTGGCAGAAGTATCAGAAGTGGCTCCAAATCATGAGGTAAGTTGGAACCATGTCACCCATAGACTGTGTGTAAGCAAAAACAGCTTTAAAAAAGACTTGGAAAGTCATGTTTAATTTCTCAAGTTAAGCAAAGTCATATTTGAAAATGAGAAAACTTGGAGGTTAATTTTTGAGACATTGCTTTTTAATAATCACATTTTTAGTATAAAGGGATCTTTACTCAAAAGATTGTACTGGGATACAGTGCAGTCACAAATACTTGGCCTCTCAGGCAGAAGAGACTGAAACTCCTTACGTAAAATTGGCAGATGGAGGTGGACTTCCAGTGGAACCAGAAACTGAAGAATGTAAATGATACAACTTCTCTTGGATTGTAGTAAATCTTTGAACTGCTACCATGAAGTGAGCTTAAGTGTTATGTGATGGCTCACTCATGAAATCCTGAGCCCTATTATAGCTACTGCTTGTATTTGACTTGTGTGGTAGGCAGACATTTGCTCAGCTGTTATTCCTTGTGTTGAACTGGCACGCATGATTTATACATTGCAACAGTGAATGTTCTTGCCTATATAAAAAGTGACTGCATGAGAAAATAAGAAGATTCTGCTTTAAATTTCAGGATCTTACAGTTCAACACAGAGAAACTATTCAATCATAAATAAATTTAGATAGAGTCGTTATTGGTTACAAAGAAAGAATTGAATCAAAACACTTTGTTCACTGAGGAATAACTGCAAGAAATCAGTGTTAAGCTTGGGCATTTATCTTGATAATCTCACAGATCCTCACCCTGGAGACCAGGGTTTCAAGTTCGATATTTGCTGTATCTCCACAAAGACATTTCAACACATGAATGCAACTTTTTACAGAAAAGCCAGGAATGTGTGCATGACAACAGGGAGCAATTCTGGTATCTGCAGCAGTGGGTGGGATTTGTTTTCGGTTTGTTGGGCCAGAGTACTGTCAATTCTGCTTGCAGCAAAAGTCTCAGCTGCTGGTGGGTGGAAGGAGCGCCATTCTTCTGTCTGTGCAGGAGGGCATTGGATATTTCCACATGGGTGGCTGTATAATTTGTAACATGCACTAAAATGATTTCATTGTATTAGCCAATGCTGCAAATGGAAACATTTGAAGACAAAATATGATAATGCCTAAATATTTTACTCAAACTCATTTGCATATGTTCCTTGCTGTGCACACAGCCTCAGTTTCATTGTCGGTGATTCTGCCAAATCATTCCTACTGCCTTGAATTTTTGGAGTTTCTGCATCTTTCTGTGAATCATTGAAAACTTCTTCAAAAGATGTCAGTTTGTGAGTGAGATCATGTGGGAAGCTAAACTTGAAAGTACAACTTCAAGCTTCTCACACACTTCCTGCCAGTTATCCTTTCTTGTATGTTTAACAATTTAATCCTAACTTTCATAAAATCTATAATATTTACATGTGTAAATAATGTCATATATTACACTGAAGAATATCCCATTCTGAGGAATCACTGACCAATGAACAAATTGTATTATCTCATGGCTACAGGGCAGCATTCCCGTAATGTTCATCTCTCCTGATATTTGTCTGATATAGCCTCATGGTGGGGGAAGAACTGTCAGAAGAACGGGTTACCGATGTTAATTTTGTGTTAAAAGTAGTTTTCACTTTAAGATCATTTTATGTATTTTATGCAATTCTTAGAGGTGTTTAATAATTGTTATAATTTTAAGCACTGAATCATTAGCTTTAGTATTTACTGTTTATTAGTTATAGTGCAGGCAACAGAATTAAGGAAGTATTAATAATATTTGCCCTTTTCTTCCACTCATTGCTTCCACACTGGATATAGTGAAATTCAATCATAGCTAAAAGACATTTTGCAAGAAATTCCCGGTTTATGAAGGTGAATGAATTAATTTACATGCATAGATTATATCAAAACTAATATAAAGTCCATTGAAAAGTCAATGGAAAGCCTGATATATAAACTATATTTTTATTTACAGATTAACTACAGTTGAACTAACATAAGGCATATGTCATGATACATTATTTCATTGTTGTTCCCAAGGGCCACACTGTCTGCAAATGTAAGCAAAACGCAAACTCAAATGCACACGCACACTTTCTAATTATAAATCGAATGTATGCAAATGTTACCGAATGTGTTCAAGTCCTGTCAGTGCAAGCTTCCATCAAAATAGCTCTTATATATGCTGCATATTTTGTATCAAACTTGGAATGCTGTAATCTTAAAAAACATGCATTTATTACTCTTTGAGGAAATCTCATAAAATTTACATTCATCTGTCATGAGATAATAACCAGATTTCAGGTTAACAATCAAGTTCCTTCCGTCAAATGTGACACTTTTTTAAGTTTTCCACCTCGTCACCACCTGCCTTACATGTTTCGGCTCACCACGGAGCCATCATCAGAGGCATTTATAGTAGAAAAAGAAATCACCAACACACAAAACTTCACTTTGTCCAAGATATCCACGTTCCAGTTAATTAAAATAATTACAAATAGTTAAAATTACCCAGAGTGTCGGTTCACTAAAAGTTTTTCACACACCACAGTAGCTTTCTTATTTGATTCGTCGTTAATTGTGTAAAATTGTGTTTCGTTATTTGAAGTAAGAATTCTTAAAATCCCTAGAATTCTTTCCCGCTTGGCCCAATCTTTTTGCTTCGGGATGTTGTTGACGTGTGTTGTCTGTCGGTAGTTGATGTTGCTTGTCTGTGTGTTGTGATGCTTGTGTCACATTTGACGGAAGGAACTTGATTGTTAATTGGTTAGTGTGACGGACCAGAATGAAAGACCTTAAACAGATTTCAGGTATTTATACAAACTTTTTTATAATCTTCTGAGTTATGACACCATGTGGTATCACTGATTGTTACAAACATTTTGTATGAATTTGCTGCCTCCTTCTTCAGGGTAACCAATCTATGAAACTACAGTATGAGTATATGGAGTAATATCCCAAAGACTACAGTATATTTCAGCAGTAAATAAAACATACTTGTACAAAGCAACACAGAAGGATATGTAACATCTAGAAACCTGTCTCAGTGGATTAAACATGAAAAAAATTCCTGGCAATATGAATGAGGTCTGCTAGTGTGTGACAAAAGGAAGACTGGAGGTGGTATGTATGGTCCATACTCAATAATTGTAATATCTTGAGGGCTTTTATTTCATATGGCATCACCCACGTGAATTCAAATTTTCCATATACTTCCATCCCTTCGCGTGAAAGTAAACAGGTCACAAGATCAGAGTATCCTGTTTCAATACATGGCTTACATATGCATTGGCCATGTGTCATTCTTCTTAAATGAAGGGCAAACAGGCAACACATGGAGACTGAAAGCTTACAATGCTTGTACCATAAGAAAAACTTTATTCCTAATAACAGACAAGCCACAGCAGGGAATGAACTGTTCTGCTCTAAGTGCTACTTCCTACTAGGAAGATATGGTTTCATGTCTCACCAAATTGTCTCTATGTGTACAGATCTTGAAAGATGCTCTGTCCCTTTGGTTCAAGTTTTTTGTAGCTAGGGCTTCATGCATCATCAAATGGTCCCTACACGTGTGCGGGCCTTTACAGATCCCACACTCTGTTTGATTCAAGAATTTTGGAGATAGGGTTTCATGTATCAAATGATCTATTCATATGTGCAGGGCTCAACAGATCTCACACCCATATCCACTTCATTTAAGAAATTTGAAGACAATGCTTGTCTCATTAAACGGCCTCTTATATATGTGCAGGCCTAGACAGATCTCTCACCCTATCTGTTTGCTTCAAGAAGTTTCAAGACAGGGCTTCCTGTATCATCAAATAGTCTCTGCAGGCCTCAACAGATCCCACCCTTTATCCAGTTCATTCAACAAGTTTGAAGATCAATCTGTATGTCTCATCACATGGTCTCTGTCTGTGCATGAATGAATGATAGAATGAATGCCTCTATGGTTCCTACAATCTATCCTCATGACACAAGAAGTTTCCATAACTCAGGTTTAAAGGGATTACGGAACATCAGTGACATGTGAGTGTAACCACTGGGGTAAAGAAACTCAATGTCACAGAACCAGTCAACAATGTGTTTTATTGAAATCCAAGAGTATACATCACTCTGAAGGCAAAATCAGAGTTAAACTTCAGCTACCTGATCCAATAATCAATGTACACTGCTTGAATTACGGGCAATTCACATTGCTCTCTCTACTTCAGCTTCTTCTTGGGCCGAATGTTGTTTGTGTGGCCACACTTCTTCTTACGGCAGTTTGTAGCTCTTGGATGAAGCCGAGCATAACATTTACGGCAGATCATCTTGTCACAGTTGTACTTCTGAGCCAAGATTCGAAGTGTTGGCTCAATTACACCACCACGAAGACGCAGAACCAAGTGAAGAGTCGATTCTGTTAGCATGTAAAAGACAAGAGAAACATATTCAGTTATGTAACGATGCACTTGTTAAGTTCCTCGCTTGGCTTTCCAAGAACTTTCTGCTTTCAATAATCTCCCCTTTTCTGCAGTCTGCCATTTGTTCCTATCTTGGTGTAGTTAATTATGTTGTACAGTATCTTCCAATAACACTAAAGATTAAAATATATGTTTTAAGAGATGGGTAAGTGGGAAATGTAGAAGACTATCCCTGGTGCACTACATGTTTTGACCAATATGGTCCTATCAGGTGCTTTGAAATTGATGTTGGAAGTTGTTGCACTTCTGTCAATGTGTACAATTTCAAATTTTACCCTCTTTTATGTGCCCATGTGTTGTATGTCTGTAACTAGTAATAGCAACTATGTAACACAGAACAATCAATAAATAAAAAATTACAAGATGAGATGAAAATAACATATTAAAAACAACAAAAGATATGTAACTTATTAAAATCCCGAATATTACACATAACAAAAGAGAATGAAAAGTACCCTAGAGTAATAAGCACCATAGACACATTTTACACCAGAAGAAATATAATTACCAAATAAGGGACTGTGACAGTCTTTACTATAAACAGAAACACTAGCAGTAGAATCAGAAACTGCAGTAACCTTGACATAACAAAACAACAGTATTACAGGCATATGGCTGAAAAAAAACATTAAGAGAATGACCAAATTAATTCAAGGGCAAAAAGAGAATGGAAAATAATAGAAATATCACAAAATGCACTCACCGTAACAGAAGCAAAGAAACTAAAATAAACAACTTTACACATGATAACCAATTCATAATATTCAATAACAACCCAGCACAACACCACCAAAAAACTATAAAACAAATACTAAAACAATGTAACAACATTATATCAAAAGAAAACAGATGGAAATACATGAACATGAATCACCTTCATGCTACACTAAAACCACATAAACAAAACACACCTATCAGACCAATAATCAATTGGAAGAATNGAGGAAAACTGGGGTGCGACTTATATTCGAAATCACACTTCATTTAAAAAAAATTATATTCATAATTAGTAATACAGGGTGTAATACTCCTGAAATAATATTCCAAGAAAATTATTTTTTCTATAATTTGTCTGAAAATTGTGCTGCGGCCTATACATGCGTAAATACGGTACTAAACTCAGATTTTAAACACATTAAAACTAACCAGAAATCAATTATATTAACCACAAAGTAATAATACACACACTGAAACAGCAGTGGAACAAAACTACTTTTGGTCTGACCAATGATTCTATAAGAAAACTGAGAGATTAGCCATGGGTGCCCCAACGTGAGCATCTTGGCAGAAACAAATATCCAGTATATGGAACATAAACAAATATACAGAATTTTAATAATGCATGGACTGCCCACTTAAATATGTAGGGCCAACAGGTCAAACTTTTCACACAAGATATAAAGAACATATACAAGCAATCTGGAATAATAATAGCAATTTGGGATATTTGAACCACATATTGAACATGGGACATGCATATGGGAGTAACCTAACATTATGGACATTATAAAAACAGAGAAAAAAGGAAAACACTTAACACGTTAGAAAAAAGGTAAAGCTGTCCCTGTAAGAGGATGTGGAGGCCCATAGGGTTGTGAGATGTTGAGGCTCCCACATTTTCTATACAATCGACTCACAGATGGTGGCAAGGTTGTCGGCCTTACGTGCCGGCCGCCCTTTACCGCCAAGAATATTCTTGGTACTCATTTCTGTTAGAGGCTGAGTTGACCTGAGTTGACCCCATGGACATAGTGCAGCTGGAAGGATTGGGTAAACTAAAAAAAGAAATCCACCTTATCGGGACTCAAACCCATGACCTTCAAGCTTGTAACGCTGTGCCTCAACCATGCTACTGCATGCCCTCCTAACACAATAGAAAGATACCACAAATATAAAATCAACACAGACACATTACATGCATATAAATAACCCATACATTGTTACACATAATCTGATTTTTGAAACGCTACAGGATCTACCCACTGGATAGCAGCATATACCCCATCTACTCTATATAAGAATCAACTCCATAAACACTTGTAACAGCTGCATTAAGAAGAATCATAAAGACTACAATCAGACACATCCAACCACACTACAAGAAACACAAATGTACTCTGTATGTGAAATACTAACATAACTGCCATTACATGTTACAGGCTTACAATACATGGACGCATGAAATGAGGTAAAATTTGGAACTGTACATATTGACGAAGTGCAGCAGTTTCCAACATCAATTTTGAAGTACTGATGATGCCCATAATTGGTCTAAACATGTAGAGCACCAATGATTTAAAATTAAAACTGGATTTTAAGTTGCATGTGAAATGACAAAATGTACTGTTGTTCTTGTTAATTCATAACTGATTCTTTGATTGCAAATATATTTAACAAAACAATTTGCTTTCACTGAAAACCAATATTCTATAACAAATGCACCACCATATGTTTTGTTATTTCCTTCCCTCCCCCTCTTCTACTTCAATCCAGGCCACAGTCCATGCCTCAGCTACAAATTATAATTAAAAATATATATTAACTTGACAGCTTTATGAATTGGACAGAGGGAACAGACTGTTTCAAGCTGTATTCCAAACTCAGATTATGACATAATCTATAAATCCCTTACAAATGTCTCCAGGTGTAACTGAAAGGCACAGGGCAATGCTGTACTTATATAGGATGCCAACTTATATCTGAAAGGCAGAGCTGTACCCTGATGTATTCCAAATGTGAAGAATTTATTTACTTACACGAAACTAACGGGTTCTCAAAATTGTTTGCTCCCTTATGCATGTGAATTAATGTCATGGAAATGACACCTATGGCTCCCCATTTGCCGCTGTTGCTCTAACAAATTATTCTTTACAGTATTTCACATTCCTTAAATAATACTGTGGTATCCAGCTCTAACTGAATCCCTGCACAGATATCTCAGCTATGTTTCTCCTGTAGTTAACAGGTATTAAGTACTCAGTATCTACAAGATGTAGAGGTAATTAGGCAATTTGATTTTTAATAACTTCCAATAATGCGTATTTTATTAAGATTTTAATTCTGACTAACATAAAATGCACACTGACAGTGGTTTACTACATAAATCGTAACCAAAGGTTCACCTTTCTGAATATTATAATCCGATAACGTGCGGCCGTCTTCCAGCTGCTTTCCTGCAAAGATCAACCTTTGTTGGTCGGGTGGGATACCTTCCTTATCCTGAATCTTCGCCTTGACATTTTCGATGGTGTCCGACGCTTCAACTTCAAGGGTAATAGTTTTCCCCGTTAGCGTTTTTACGAAAATCTGCATTGTAACGTACCTAGAAGAGAATGGTCAGACTGTTCATAAATGAAACCTCGTGGTCATGATTGAAAAAAATATTTAGGATTTAAGGTATTTTTAACTTAACGTGGTCATAATTTAAGTAAAATAAATGGCTAAAGTATTACTACCAAATCACATAAATAAAAATCAATCCATCTAAAACTAATTTTAATTGCGACAATGTATATAAATAGGAAAACTGAATCCACTAACACCTCACTCAACGTCTCAACGGCACTACCTTCCGGATTCTTCCGGAAGAGCGAAATCGTGCTTCCACCTGGTGTTGCGATCTACAAACGACATAGGCTATCACGGATTAAAAAGTGCAAAGAAGTAGCTATCCCCATGCATGTGTATCGATAAATATCGGTATGTCACAAAAATTGAATCAAGCAACGACTGGTAGAAAATCAGTTTTACTGCGATGTGAAGAACATAGGTTTGTAGATAAATGTTACTCGGTTGGACTTGGTTGCAGAACCAGCGGTGGAGGCCTCTGCCCGTGGACGGCAGGTCAAGTTGGGATAGTACACTGCCAGCAATCTATGTCCATCTCCAATTTTACTGGGCATGATGCCTACATACCAAGCTATGTATCACACCCCAAAGGATCGTTAGCTTCATATTCGCTGCTTTGAGGTTTTCAAATCTGACAGCAAAAAGTCAAGTAAGAGTTTTTCTCTCTAATTTTTTTCCTATCCCCCCTCACTCCCAAAAGAAAACAAAAACTTGCAAGATTAAAATGTGGAGTTCTGTATTGAACATATGGACTTGTATGCTGCACAGACTTTACTCTTGCAAAATGCAATATAAAAACAATGCTTTAGTAGGACCTACCGAAGTTTTCATCTGGAGTTAGAGGAAGATCATGAACACTGCCAGGATTACTTGTAACCTCACCAAGGTTAGTGCTTTTTTGTTACTTCTACGTGGATTGAATGATAAGTAAGGATCAGTGTTCAATCTAGCCCTGCTTTATTAAGACTAACTTTTGATACACAAAAGCGTTTTTTATATATTCACACACATAACCATAGCAACACATAACAATAGAGGGATTTTGTTTATACACACCTAACCGTAGTAACACATGACAGTAGAGAAATTAGGAACAGCGCATGTAGCGCTATCTATTATTGAAAATTATTTACTACGACGTTGCCAACTCTAGCATTATATTGTAACGCGTTTCGTTACTGAAGACGCCGTTCAGATTGTTAATTGGGTTATTTAACAACCTACAAGTATCGGCTACTATTAATTATAACAATGTTACGGGTTTCCACACTTTACAAACCCTACAACCAAATCTCTTCACACTATCACGATTCTTGTTACAACTGAAATCGGTGACTACTACAATTCAACTCACTCCTTACTTCTCACTGCTGGCTAGATTCCAACTCAACTGTTCCAGACCCACTACTTCTCAAAAATCTGGCAGCGCCGGGAATCGAACCCAGGAACTCTGACCACTAGACCACAGAGGCAGTCTGTGAAAATCAGTAAACTGGTTTAAAAGCTGAAATTTATGAAAAGACCCGCAGCCACACAGTACATTGATCAGGCAAGCTTACATTTTTCCTTGAAAAGGGAAAGGAGGCAAAGAATTTGAAATGATAGTGACAAAATATCCGTCATGAAGAAATTAAGAGCAGATTCAATTCAAAGAATGTCTGCTACCGTTCAGTTTAGATTCTTTTGTATTCCTGTCATCTAACAATGGAAAGATTAAACTACTCGTACATGCAGAAAATTGCGTAATGAGGGTTCATAATTTGTACTCAACCCCATGTATCATCAGGGTGAACAAAGCAAGAAGGATGAAATGGCAGGGGAATGTAGGATGTATAGGAGATATATGAAATGTATATAAAATTTTAGTAGGAAAAGTTGAAGTGATAAATGGGAGAATAATATTAAAATGGATCTTGCAGTAGGTTGTGAGAATGTGGACTGGCTCAAACAGGCTCAGAATATGGTCAGTAATGGACGCTGGTTCCATAGAAGGTGGGGAATACCATGACTGAATGACTATAAGCTTCTCAAAAAGGATTCCTCCACGGAATTATTTAATTCTGGCAAGTTAATTAGTTAATAACATAATTTATTACATAAATACATCTTTTATAACATCAGAAGTTATTCTCTGTACTCCATATGAGGCCACTTTCCAGCATTCAAAGTGAGTCATCCCAGTCATCATGCTGCATGATGCTGTTGCTGACATATCTTTGATACTTCAACATATCAGTTGGGTTTGGCTCAGAAGCCCCTAATCTGCCTCTCTCAACATACTGATGATAGATTTCTTGTGATGTTCTGTTCACTTTGGGTGGCATCATTTGGAATGAAGTGTCCAGTGAGAATGCACTCCACTGAATCAACTTCACTGTGTTTGGAATACCACTCCCTTTATCATTCTTCATTGCAGAGCGTCCAATTAGAACATATCTGAAAGAGAGAATAAAAAAATCTGGTTAGCATCACACAGTCATGGTGATGATATCTACATCTGGGTATTATGTGTTTTTAATGATCCAGTGAATTTCACTGTCATTTGGATTAACAGAATCTCTGCCTCTCTTGTACAGCACATACAATGTCTGTTCAAAAAGTTCCCGAAATGGAGCAGCAATGCATAGGTCATATTACGTGTTGTTTAAGTGATCTGGCAACCTGACTGTTAGTTACACAAGCCATTTTGTTCCTCGTGGACTAGATGTTCCATTTAGTTTTTATAATTGAGTGTGTTGTTGTCGTGTCACGTTCAGTACGGAGTCAATAAAGGAGCAAAGAATTTGTATTAAATTTTGTTTCAAAGAAGGAAAAAGAGCTGTAGAAACCAATAACATGTTGAGTGAAGCTTACAGCAATGATACGAGGGGAAGTAAATAATTATCCGCAATGCAATTGTATTTGTTTCTGTTGGCAGCACTGTCGTTTTGCGCAGTATCACCATGCGTGGTTTCCTTGTCATTATTTCTGTGCAGGTTTGATGTTGCTAGGTCAGTTCCATCGTCGCTGCCTTGCCGTTAATCATGGCTGCTCTGCTTTCTGTTTGCACTAAAGAAGAGCAACGTTCAGTGGTCTGGTTTTTGTGGTCGGAAGGTGTATCAGGGGCCGCAATCCATCAAAGACTTCCAGCACAATACGGGAACAGTGTTTTGCCGCAACGGAGTGTCTACAAATGGATTGAAAAATTAAAAAATGGTCACACAAGTGTTACGCATGAGGATGGAGCCAGACGACCATCCACGGCCACAAATGAGGACAACATTGAGCGTGCACGTGACATGGTTCTGTTAGACAGACGAGTGACTATTGATGAAGTGGCAAATCATATGCAAATTAGTCATGGTTCTGTCTGTGCAAGATGGGTCCCAAAACAAATCACAGTGTTGCATAAACAAACGCACTTGGACATCTGCCAACAACATTTGGATCACTATGGTAACGAACATGACGTTGTCTTAGACAGAATCATCACTGGTGACGAAGCATGGATCCATCATTGTGAGCCAGAGAGTAAATGGCAGAGTATGGAATGGAAACATCCACAATCGCCCAGCAAGAAAAAGTTCAAAAGCCAACCATCTGCAGGAAAACTGATGCTTACAGTTTTTTGGGACTCACAAGGCCCAGTACTGGATCATTATCAGGAGAGGGGCACAACAATAAACAGTGCTCGTTACAGTGAGATGCTTACTGACAGGCTAAAGCCTGCAATTCGAAGCAAACGCCGAGGACTACTGTCAAAAGGTGTTGTGTTGTTGCACAACAATGCCCGTCCAAATACTGCTGCCCACACTGCGGAAACCCTCCGGAAACTCAAGTTTGACGTAATGGCTCATCCTCCGTATAGTCCTGATCTCTCCCCCTTCTGACTACCACTTGTTTGGTCCACTCAAAGAGGCATTAAGGGGCCACTGATTCACCTCGGACCAAGAAGTGAAGGAAGCGGTGCATGCGTGGCTTGCTGCTCAGCCGAAAACCTTCTTTTCTGAGGGCATCAGGAAGCTTGTGCAACAATGGACCAAGTGCGTTGAAAAGCAAGGGGACTATGTTGAAAAATGATGTTAATGTAAGTTTTCTATTTGTATTGAATAAAATTTATAGCTACACTGTGGATAATTATTGACTTACCTATGTACTTTCAGTCAGACGATCTACAAATGGTTCAAACATTTCAAAAATATAAGAACTTAAAGGATTATGAGTGGTGTGGCCACTGTTCAACTTCTGGATCTGAACCTCTGATTGCCCATGTGAAAAACACTATCAGTGGAAATCCTTGACTGACTGAGTGATAAGTTGCAGAAGAGGTTGGAATGTCCACTGTTTCATGCCACAATTTTAATGGAAGATTTGTGCCAAGACTCTTTGACTGATTATAAGAAACTGCAACTATTTTCCATCTGTGAAAATCTCCTTCAAATATCATTACTGGTAATGAGATGTGGGTTCACAGTTATGACGTTGAAACCAAACGAAAATCCTCACACTGGAAGAGTTGTCTTTATCTTGCCCCAAAGAAACACAACAGGTGCACTCATGAGTGAAAGCAACGCTGCTTGTTCTTTTCAATCACTGGGGCACTGTGCATTATAAATTCACTCCTGAACATCAGATAATCAAGATTTTTATCTGTGGGATATGGTATGAAGAAAGAGACCTGAAATGTGGACTGCATGAGGTGGCTACTCGATCACAATAATACACCTGCTCACACAGCAATGTCAATCAGACAATTCTTGGCAAAACATTCAATTTATATCCTTCCACAACCCCCCTATTAACCTGACCTCTCCCCCCTGACTTTTTTTTTTATTCCCTAAACTAAAAAGACAGTGGAAGAGATCATAACTAATGCAACAAATGGCTTGAATTCTCTTCAAGAATTTTTCACCTAATGTTGGATTGATAACTAGCTTGTTGATTGTCTTTTGGTTTACAGTTTTTAATATTGTGTTTGCATGTTTTATATTGCTGACATTTTTCTTTTGGTCTTCTGTATTTTTTATCATTATGTTCCTTATGACGGTTGCTATATTATAGTGATAAATCACTGTAAATTTTATGTGACTTTGACATGTGATGTATGCATTGTTATTTCTTGACATGTCCAATTGTATTCACTTCAGTTATGAATGAAAATAAAGTTGAAAGTTGAAGGTGATACCCAAAACATCTTTAGAACAGTATTTCCAGAAGTTGTAAAGGTGGTGGGAGAGGTGCATTGCGGTGCAAGGGGACTGTTATGAAGGAGATGATATTCAACAAGCTCTAAGCATAGAAAGATACTATTTAGTGACAAATTTCTTGAACTTTTTGAAAACAACTTGTGTTGGAGAGATAATTACAGCAGTATTCTGTAACAGGTTTTGCCATTAATATAAAACTAACACTATGGTAGCAGAACCTGATGGTTCAAAGGTTGACCAACATAGTTTTGAATTTTGATTTCTGTCTAGGACTCCTATTTTTTTCTTCTGAGTTGTGCTGGAAGTCCCAAGTCTCATCACGTCACTGTTTCTCCCAAAAGATAGGATTCTTTCAATCATCTTCTTAGGTAATGGCAACCCCTCAGTCTTTGTTTAGTAGAGGGATTTCCTGGTGTCACTATGCACAGATCCACAGAGCTTCATCACGAATCTTACAGTTTCTTCTACCCACAGAAGATCAGTGATGTTTCAGAGCATCGCACTGCCTCCACCTTCAAGTTTGAAGTGTTTGCTAGCTTGGTTAATTTCTTGACTCCAAAGACGTAAATAGTTATGTTCCTCTGAAATGCTCGTGAACTTTTACTGAACTATAATGCATCACATCACAGAAGACAATACTCTTCTTTTCCTACCCATGCTCAGCTCTGCCACCTTCCATATCGTTGGCTAACAATCATTTCTAAAAAATTTCATATACTTTTCAACCTCTGGATCAGTTATTGAAGTTATTAAATAAGTGGAGTTATAACCACCCATGTTTTGAAATCATTCAACCCTCTGAAAATCCCGTGAGTTACCCAAATCCACATAAAAGCTTGTGTTCTACTCGCTGTTCTCTCTCCATACACATGCTATAACATTTTGTACATATCAGTAGCATTTTTCTCCAATTTCACTAAAAATTTAAAATCATATATTAAATGGAGTGCCAATGACTGCCTGATGCAAGGCTGCTGAATCACATAGTCAGGTATACACTTCCAGTTTTCTGTCCTTCCTTCCTTCCTTTCATTTTGGTTCCTTCTCAGATACATTCCAGGAGAAACATTTTATTAACACAGATTATTTTCCATTATTTTGTGATGTGGTGGCTGAAAGCCAGAACAGTGGAATGAACAAAGATAGCCACTGATAGGCAATGGCATGGTAAACACGTGTCCGTGGCAAGGAATGAACACACAGCAATAGAGGAACTGCTGGGAGTGATGTTTTCAGTGTAGTCCACACTGAAGCTGTATAGAGAGGACCACTGGGAAAAGTTAGCAACTCATGAGTTAGGAGTCGACAGTTGTGATCACTATGAACTACTTCACCAAGTGGCCAGAGGCCTATACTGTCCCCAACCAAGAAGCTTTAACAGTGGAAGCCCTGGTGGCCAACTTCTCTTGCTTTGGAGTATTGCAAGAGCTATACAGTGACAAAGGCCATAATTCCAAGTCCCGCCTTATGCAGGAAGAGCTAAAATGCCTAGGAGTGAGCAAGACATGCCCCCCCCCATCTGCACCTGGATGGCATGGTGGGTGATAAGTCAAAATGGTTGAGCAGCTGCAGAATGTCATCACATCACACCAAGGGGATCAGGATATGAGACAGCCCATCATCCTCCTTGCTTACAGTTATCCACCCATAACAGAATGGGCTGGGCCCCATTTAACAGTGTTCAAGAGAGAACTCTGCCTGCCCTGTGACCTGCTGTTCACTGCTCTGCCTGAAAAGGAGTGACCCATCATCAAACATACGGCAGAGCTCAGGGATTGGCCACACGGTGTCTACAACAACACTGGCCAATATTTGAAACTGGCCAGTGACAGAATGAAAATGCACAACTGCCTGGCCAACTCTGTGGGCTACCAAGAGGGAAAATGAGTATGGCTGTATCACCCAAGCTTCAACCCCCACAGGGTAGTCATTTGAAACAACAATATGGTGTACAGGACTTGACAACACTCTAGAACAAAGATGATGGTAGTACACACGGCCTAGCTAGCACCTTACCAGGGACTGCTGAAGACAAGCGGCCCTAATGAGGAAGTAGCTGAGCAACAGCAGCATGGCACCCTACCCATGAGGAATGATGGCTGTAAGTCACTGAGAAAGGAAGCAGAAGCAATGATGCCAGAATGATGCTGACATACCAGTCATAAGGATGATGACAGATGTCACAGGCACATCCCCTCAGAGAAGAAGAAACGGTGATATGCCTGTGAGCTACTTGGGGCAAATGGTCTTCAGGAGGGACAAATGTGATAACATGGCTGAAAGCCAGAAAAGTGAAATGAATAAAGGCAGCCATTGCCAGGCAATGGTGCAGTAAACACGTGTTTATGGCAATGGATAAATATGCAAGAACACAGGAACTGTGCAAAAAATGTTATCTATGCAGTCTTTGCTGAGATTACAGGGTAATTCATATGTCCTACAGGGGCTTCTGAACTCGGCAGAGCAACAACCAAGACAGACACGCTGGAAAGGAGCATATCAATTGGTAGAGACTCTCTCCAAGTTCATTTGGGTAATAGGTACTTGCAGGTTTCACTGCTAGGGGGCAGTCGTGACAAAACATGGTGAGGACAGGGGATAAGAAACCGTTCTGTGTCTTAGAATTTGCGAAACCTCAGTCAACTGTGACGGTGCAACAGAAGTTTCCGACCAAGTACCACACAGAACCACCTACAGACAAAACAATTCGTGAGCGGTATAAGAAATTCCAGCAGAGTGGCTGCCTGTGCACTGTGAAGCGAACAGGCCAGCTGAGGCCTTCAGCCGAGACTGTCAAGCGTGTGCAAGAAACTTTTGTCAGGAGCCCTCAGAAGTCAACATACTGATGCAAGCCATGAATTGCAGATGCCTCAGTCAAGCGTCTGGCACATTCTGCACAAACGACTTCGTGTGAAAGGATACTAACTGCAGGTGTTGCATGTGCTGAAACCTCAGGCTCACAATCTCTGTTTCCAGTTCTGTGTGGATTTCCAACAGTGTCTAGAGGAAGATGGGTTTGCTGAGAAGCTGGTTTTCAGTGACAAGCTAATGTTTCATGTGTGTAGTAAGGTGAACCATCACAACGTATGCATTTGGGGCACAGAAATCCTCATGAAACTCTGGAACAGGTCCTTGATTCGCCTAAAGTGAATGTGTTTTTTGCCATTTCCTTTTGCAAAGTCTGCAGACCGTTTTTCTTTGTGAAGCCAAGTGTTACCAGCACCATGGCACCTATTACCCAAACAAACCTGGACAGATTCTCTACCTACTGACATGCTCCTTTCTGCTATGTCTGTACTGGTTGTTGTGCTGTCAGTTTGGAAGTTTTGGAGCAACTTATGAATTACCCTGTACATAGTGAGGACCATCAGGAAAAGTTAGCCGGTCATGAGGCAACAGGCTGAAGTCAGAGCTGGCAATTACTGGTCTAGAGTCTTGAGTTGCACTGTTTGATGCCACTACCAAGCAGTGACTAGTGGAGACAGAGAAGACTTAGTGTTTGCAGTAGTGATTTGTAGAGTGTGTAGATTAGTGAAAGTGTTATAGTTATTTGTAGTTACAAGTTATAAGAATTCAGTAAATTTAATTATCAGTCCAAACCCTGTTTCTAGTCAAACATGTGAGAATATTGTTTCTCTTATATCCAATTGTGTTAAAAATTGCATTATATTAAGGATAACTTTAAATTACTTTTCATTCTATATTTTCAGGATGGATGAACTTCTCTGAACAAAGCAGTTTTCCATTTAATTCAAGGTTCCATTTTGGAGAGATTGCTGTATTACATTGTAATATGCCATACCTTTTGTACATGAGTATGTCCGACTTCTTTGGGTGCTCAATCTCCATGCCATAAACCTGTCTCATAGAAGGGAACAGAGCCTCAAATGTGATGTTTCTGGAGGAGCTATCCTTTGAGGGTGTAAGTTGTGAATCAGTAATGTGACCATTGTCTTCTTCATCAGTGTCTTCACTCTCTGAGCTGGAACTGTAATCAACACTCAACCTACTGAGAGCAAGAAGGGATGAATTCAACATGGCCATTACAACCTTTGCTGTATGGCTCTCTGATATGTTTAGTCATTATGCCTTCTTCACAAGAAGTGCATGAAATGAAGGCATTCTGGATAGGACATATATGCCCATATTATGTGTCTGAAATTACTGAAAATATTTCAGTAATGTCTGCTATTAGAGGCTATACAAATTTCTATTGGGAAATTTTAACTCTGTTTCATATTAGTACAATAAAACCTTTACTTTGAAGTTCAAATCAAACACTGGTTTTCTCTAAAACACCTCACTGTACAACAAATTTCTACATGATACATATATATACTCATATTTACCCCTTGGAGTATAACATCAAGTGTCGCTTGTTGTAGGGGCAAACTACCACTGTACATGACATAAGACAGACTCATTTTTTATCTCAAATTAAAACTGAAGACGAAGTTAAGATTATCTTGATTAAATACTAGCATGAATCAAAGCCTAGGAGCTTTCGCAAACTGAACAAAGCAAAAATTTATGGTAAAATAATGAGAATTCTAATACCTCTCCACCAACTGTTCTGAAAATCATGGTGTCCACCTCAAATGTTTTCTCTGGCTCTGCAATATGATCAGAAAAGAAGGCTTGAAGGGGCTAAGATCTACAACCTTCATTTGAAATATTTTTAAATGTGGTGAACACTGAATGAAATGCAATGAAGGCTAATCTGACTTTCTGCCATATGATAACTTTACAGATTCCTACCCACAATAAATGAAATACGTTGATGAGTTATGCATATGGAAAATACACATACTCCAACCTGGAATATACCTTTCCACTTATTTTATGAACACAAAGAGAATTTAAGCACAAAATTGAAGCTATTAATTCAAATACCAATCAAAACCATGTCAACTAAAGTTCTTCACTTTTCACAGCCATCTCATAATGGTCAGGAACACAGCTCCTCCTACACAAGGTAAATACATGATTTAAAATTATGTAGCAACATCTCAACTGCAGACGTTATATAGTGTCAAATGTGGTGGAAAGAGGACCGTGAACAGTGATCAGGTAAGAATTCAGAAGCAAGCCGCCGTGGCCTATCTAAAGACACTACGAACATTCTGATGTCTGACCATGGAAGACTATGAATAAACCTGCCATGATAATCTGTCTCAGGCAGGCATGTAAAGTGGGCACTTCCCAAATGAAAGTCATACTGCTCTAATAATCCAGCTACATAATTAAGGACTTAACTTTCGACCATTTGAATGAGAATTTGGTGTCTTATCTTAGGGCCACCAGGCCCTCTAATAATAAAAAGATGTGAACAAAATTAAAATATAATTTAGGCTACTACAGAAGTTCCTGATCTGCATTAATTCCCCGTCTGACTTGACAGCTATTACACAGCTAGTATCACACACCTGGCACTGGAAGTTGTTGAGCTGGTAGAGCTTTGTCCTGTAAGGGATGGGTTCTTCATAGTTCCACCCTTGGAAGAAGTCTCTTCTCTCCGTCGACCTGGGCGTATACGCACTGTAAATGGACTGAAGTTGGTTGTAAAGTGAGGCATGAAGTCTCTGAAAGGCAATTAATTATTTATAGAATAGCATAATTTGAATCAGCTGGTCTCTAATCTGTGTTAAATATAACAGACATATTGTCATACCACACAATAAAGACACAGTGCTCCAAGAGCTCAGCATTCCTTGAAAATTTTACTCAAAACACAATATTGTGGAAAAACAAGAAATGGCTACAGTTAGTGAAGAACTAGTTGGTGAGTTAGTGATTTAGTGAGAGGACTGCTGCAGTTCAGTCCTTGTGAGCTGTTGCTGTGAGAAGCTGGTAGATGAGGCTGGGGATCGTCCGCCACTGGATGCTGCTACCAAGTAATGCAGCAAAGATGTGACTGCGGCCACTGGTGTGTGTGTGTGTGTAACAGTGAACTGTCAGGTGCAGTCACGCACTGCACCAAAAAATCTGATCATAAATCCAAATCCCATCCATACACATGACAATATACTAATTTATGATATACCTGACTGAGTGACTGATCTTGTACGCAAACATCTCGCTTAGCAGACTGAACTCATATGGGCGATGGTAGTCAAAGTAACCATCCACCAATTCCTCACATCTGTTCACTTGCATAATCTCACTGCAGCTCTTGAAAATTTCATCATAGGCTTGAGGCAAGCACTGTAGTACCTCAGTATTCCACCACTGACTCCGAGGAGCTCTGCCACAAGAGACCACATTACAGAAATGATTGTCTAAAGGTCTGTGACAGTGGTTCATTTGTTACAGTATGATTATGTTGGGCAAAGTCCAATGCATGGTGCTATGATTCTCAGCATTTCTTTTTTTTTTAAATACTGTGGCACTAATGTGACTAACACTGCGCCTCTCAACTCTCAGGCTTAAACTTCTGGGCAGTTTTCAGCATAAAAATATTCTTCTGACCACTATTTGTAAACTTCCTAAGAATTCCTACAATCCTGTGGGTTGCAATATCAGATTGGGAATAAGCGATCTAATGATTACCATTCTAGCACAGCACTTTTCTAAAATTTTGTTGACTGGAAACCTGAAGATGTAGATGTAGACCAAGATGGAACAATGATATTATGATTACCTGTACTCAAATAGGTTCTGAACATGTAACTACACTGAACTTGCTCAAGAAAATATCAGCGGGTCAAAACATACATAATGTATATCTAATACAGACAATTTTCTGGTATGATCTACAACTTCACTTACTCATTTCTTAAATCATTCATGTTATTCCTATACTTACCAGAGAAGAAGAGAAGCTTATTTACCAATCAAAGGCACACAATAATTGAAAACTGGCCAGAAGTGAACATGCAAATATTTGTGCTCTTAGCTACTGTTATCCAATGGTAGACCCTCCTGCATACAATGATCATTTTCTGCATGTCTTCAGAGTTGCAAAACTACTTTTGATATTGTCTGATACTACAGAATAAGTAAGGTACCTTCTCATCTTCTTCTGCCCAAGTGCTTGTGGATGATGGAGACAGTAGTCTGTCATCAGGTCCCAGATGGGAGGCTTATTCTCATTGGGAACAAACAGTCCCAAGAACAGGTTTATCGTGTGCTGCTTCTCTGCATCTGTGGAACAAAGAAATTACTCTAACATCACACCATGCACCAGCATCAATAGTAAGTCCTAATAACACTTTTAAATACTTTACACAACACAAATATACGATGGCTATTTGGAAAGTAATCTCTGGTGAACTGTTAATAAAACAAGCAATGAAAAAATGTTGTTATATACAAAAAATTCATACCACTTCCCAACGTAGTCACCTCCAGAACTGAGGTACTTGACATATTAGGGAATAAGTTTTTGTACGCCTGTGTCAAAAATATCCGCCGCCTGTGATCTCAGTCATGTTTTGACACCTTCCAATCACCTCTTCATTATTTATGAAGCTCTGTGATCCCAACCAGTTCTTCAGGTAGGTAAACAGGTGGTAGTCCCTTGGAGTGAGCTCAGGGCTGTAAGGAGGGTGGTCAAAGAACTCCCAGTTGAAATTCTCCAGCAGTGCTTGAGTGCAAGCAGCTGTACACAGAAGTGCATTGTCATGGAGGAGCACTATGGGTGCACTGTATGTCAGCATTCCACATTCTTTGTTGTGAATGGCCCTAGGCAGTTTCTTTAGCATTTTGCAACACACTTCTGACATTACTGTGGCCCCTTGTTGCATGAATTTCACCATAAGCAAACATTTCCTGTCCCAGAAAACAATTCCTACATTAGTTGCCTAATATAAACTGAGGTTACTTTCTGAATAGTCCTCATATAAGAATCTAAAGATAATTATTTTCCCCATCCATTTTCTGCAGTTCTGCATTACTGCAGAGACAGATCTAGTGTTGCAAAGCAAATCACACTACAGATACCATACTACATTTCCTTGTATTCTGTTGGATGTATACTACACGTAAAAAGTATTTAAAAAAAGTTGCAGACCTTAATGATGCCTATACTCTACATTACATTTTTCTGTACAACATGCAATGTTTGAGAAAACTGCCTGTGTTTTATTTGAGCTTTACATAAAGTTACTAGTTGTATATTATACCAATATGAAGAATATTTTGAATATATTTGACCACATTTAGTGTACAACCACCAAGTAATATATTTTACTGAAATGCTGATAACATTTAAAATTAAAAAAAAAAATAAATAAATAATGAACACAACCTTCTTGATCATGTGTTCATTTTATGTCTTTGTGCAGGGAAGGTTCATAACAGATTTCTTTACATCTACAGATGATCATGATCTTTTGGGTTAAATGACAGAATTTTAGGTAAAAGATTTTACATTGTTTTATCTGTATGGTTGTGTTATATATGAGACAAGCATTCTGTTAACATAAGGTGAATAATTTTCATTACTGTTTCATATATAAGAAAGTATCATGATTGTGAAAAGAAACCTGATCTTGAGATACTGACAGACTTACATGCTATTAGACCCCTGAAAATGAAAAAGTGGTTTCTGGAGTGCTGTCTGGCTGTCTCGATGTATGAATGTGTGTCTTGCCAGTGCCTGAACAGTTGGATAGATTTTATTAATATTCAGTATTTAAGAGTTTATCTGCCATAGGTCATTCCCCAGTGAATATAAACCTCCCACAATTGTAATTAAATTTCATATATTTATGGAAATCACCTCTATAGATGTGTGTGTGTGTGTGTGTAGATGGTACCTTCAGGGAAACAATGGTATGCACACTAAAAGGTAAAGTTGTCCCTGTGCTTAAATAATTAAGCACTATGCCATGAACATGTATGGGGGAGTGGATGTATAGATTCAGGTTTTCTTGGCCACAGCACTAGCTAGAGGTGAGAGATCAGCTTCACGCACCAGCTACTTTAGCCCCCAGCATCTGATAAGAAGCTGGGTGGGCCCCAGAGCTGGGCTGGACAATGTCAAGAAGAGAAAATTCCTGACCCTACCAGGACTTGAACCCCGACCCCTCAGTTGTTCAGCCTGTAGCCAGTTGCAATACTGACTGCACTATCCTGGCTCCATGGTATGCGCACTAAGAAACAAAATGTGAGATGTCAATTTTATTGAGAATGGCTTTACTAGTGGGATGAATGTCCCTTTTACCTGGTATTCAGTAATCAACAATGGTCTACTAAGTAACAATTGTTTCCAAAGTAAAGTATTTAAGGTCAAGTGTACCATGTACGAGGTATGACAATAAAGATCACAAACTTGCCATTGTGGGTTTGCTGTGGCAGCAGTGGACAGAAACCTCAGTATGGTTTGATGATGCTGGAATACCAAGTTTACTATCTGGAAGTACTGAAAAGGCTGCTTGAAAACGTTGGATGGAAATGTCCCACACTTTCCGTCAACAACTCATGGATCTTGCATCAAGACAATGCACCTGCTCACATGGCAATGTCTGTGAGGGAGTTTTGAGCTAGTAAACAAATAACTGTGCTGGAACACCCTCCATATTTACTGGATCTAGCTCCCAGTGACTTTTTTCTGTTCATGAAGATAAAGGAAATGTTGAAAAGAAGGCATTTTGATGACACTGATGACATCAGAAGTAATATGATAGCAGTTCTTAAGGCCATTCCACAAAACCAGTTTCAAAATTCTTTTGAAGGGTGGACTATGTCCTGGCATTGGTCCATAGCTTCTCAAGGGGAATACTTTGAAGGAGACTACAGTGATATTCAACAGTGAGGTATGTAGCATTTTTACCATGACGAGTTCGTGAACTTTATTGTCAGACCACGTATATGAGAAAGTATATGCAATATCTTTGCATAATTCCTTTTCAGACCAGTGCTGTTTCTTGCATGCTTATGTTTATGTATTATGTGTTTACATTCCCATTAATAAAATCTGAACCCTTGAATGATTTTCTGTTAACTTAGTATAAATATTATGCCAGTGAAACATAAATCTTATCTCACCTGAGAATGTGTTGCTGTAGTAACGACTGAGCGTTTGCATTATGTCATTGCCCTGCGAAGTCCAAGGAGCCGTTTTTCTGTAAGTTTTTATGCGGTGGACCAACTGGGAGCCCCCATACTGCAGGGCCAATGTGTCTCCATGATCCTCGTACAGTTCCTCAAGCATCCTTACACAGTCAGAATCGAACTCCAATACAGGCGACTCCAATACTCCCAAGGCACACAACTACAACATACATTAGTTCTACATACTTTATAGCAGTACACTCTCATACTACAAGGTGTATACTTGAAGTAATATAAAACTGGATCTGGCTAGAGACTTTGTTCAAACTGTCAGTGCTCATTTAGCAACATGTTAGTTATGCATCGCAACAAGTCCCGCCATCTTCTTCTCTCCAATTCAGTTACACTAAGAATATCTGGAGAATAGTGAGAAAATAAAGTTGTCCCTGTGCTTAACTAATTAATCACTATGCCATGAAGGCATAGTAGATGTATAGATTCAGATTTTCTTGACCTTGGCACTAGCTGGAGGTGAGTGATCAGCTTCATGCCCCGGCTACTTTACACCCAGGAGAGCCCCTGGTACCCATTGCATAGGAGGTTGGGTGGACCCCAGAGGCAGTCTGGACAACATGGAGAATAGAAAATTCTTGACACTACCGAGATTCGAACTCAGACCCCTTGGTTGTTCAGCCTGTAGCCAGTCGTTATACCAACTAAGGTATCCTGACTCCTGCTGAATAGTATAAATTATTAATTTTCACCATCCTCCTGCTATTTACTACTACTCAGGTCCAAATATATTCCTCAGCTATGTTTCTGAAATATGGTTGCGAAATCAGTCTCCTGGGGGAACATGACGTGTGAAGGGCTAGTCTAATGGTCTTGATGGATTGAAACTATAATATACCCATTAATGTTACTAGTACAACATACCTGGAAACCCAGCGTACATTTCCCAATCGCAAACTGTGCAGTGTTGGTTCTGTCAAGACAGTCCACACAATTCACACGAATCACTCCAGTCTGGATGCGACTTTCTATACCATGCTGTCCGTTGAGAGGTTTCCCCAAGATGGACTGTGGATTCTGTGAGTGGTACGGCTTTTGGTTTTGAAATATTCCTGTCTTACAGACAGCACTGTAAGCTATCTGAGCAAGACGTCCCATTACATTTGCTTCCTTTCTGCAATAAAGCATGCATGAAACAATAAACAGTGTCTCAATGACTATTCCTTCCCTTTAGCTGCACATTCAAGTCTAATTTCTCTGCAGAAGGGCTCACAAACTTAGATAGTGGCCATTATAATGTATTCACAGCCAGTTCTTTACAACATAAAGGAATTCTCACATGTGATTTCATCCTTTCTACAGTAGCGTAATATATAAGAAAACAAAGGAACAGAACATTATGATAAACTAAAGCATTCTCAAAATTTCATAAGATGTATAAAAATCCCCTTTATATTACTGATAAAGCAGTGATACACCAACTTTTCATTTGTGAGTAGATAACAAAATGCAGAGTCTTTTCTTTTACCTGTATTACATTGAATGTCACAGTTGAGTGGTTAGCACTCCTGTTTAATATCTGGATAACCCTCGGTTGAAATCTCTGCCTTAAGACCAGCTAGCCTGTCTGAGGATTTCTGTGGTTTTCCTCAGTCCCTCCAGGAAAATGTCAGGATAGTACCTCACATTAGGAAATGACTACTTCAATCTACATCTTTTCCAATTCATTCATTAATCATCCATAATACAGTATATGAATCTACACGATAGTGCAATGCTGAAATNAGATGTACGACCACGTTTAAATTCGTTGAACCAATATCTCACGGTTGTCATAGATGGTGAAGGGTCCCCATAGACGGCATCCAACTTCGCTTTTATTTCTTCGCATGTTTTTCCATCCAAAAATAAAAAGCGAATTACGGATCGATATTGCACTTTCTCCATTGTATCAAGAAAGACAAAACACGTCTGATGCAACTGGCTGCCAAATAAAAACTAACCTATGAATCAGTCTGAAATTTAGTATGGGGTCGTTTGACAGATGGCAGTACACGACGGTAAAGCCAACTTCCCTCAGCAACGCCACCTGTCTTCAAACACGGGTACTTATTGATCGACCCTCGTACATTATCCGATCATACGAATGATTACTACTGCAGTGGAATTAATTTTTTCCTTTTTGAAGCAGCAGTGCTAATGGCTATACTGACCCCTTGTTCATGCGTGCCATGTCAAAGCTTATGTACTGTATGTGATGGTTGGGTGGCAGGAACTGGTTAAGGTACTTGACTGCAGTGCTGAACTCCTCACTCAGCATGCTCTCGTGCTTCTTCTTCTCACGTTTCTTAACCAGATTCAGAATGATGATTGGCGAGCCATAACGATGTAACAGCTGGTTGAAGTGCTCACCTGCACATGACACATTTTTAAATGTATTTTTGGGTTTTTATATACACTTTCAGTAGCTAGACTATACTGCATCAATTGTATCCGACTGAGGAAAATTGAAAAACCTCAGTCCACTTCATATACGAAGGGTGTTCTGTATATAATGCCTCCTATTTTTTTTTGTGTTAATATGTAACAACTGAGCTGGATGTTGGTGGTGTTGTAGTAAAGGTTGAACCTTCCTGCCAATGTACTCTTAGTTTCAAAGACAAAAACAACACCATCCAGTGTGACTATTTAAGTTTTATCACTTGAGGACTCATCACCCTTAATGTTTCGATCCCTACAGATCATCCTCAGAGGTCATCAATACTTTTTCTGGAAACTACTATTACAATAGGTGTTAAATTATATACATACACATATAATGTCTGAACACACAATGTACACAATGTTCAACTTTTCACAGTCACAGCAGCCTTCCTGGTATTAACATTTTTTAAAGTTTTTTAAAAACTTTGTTGTTTAAGATTAAAATTAGTTAGTTAGTTTGGTTGTTGTGCAACAGATAGCGACAGCAGAGCAGTCTACCAAAATGGCGTCTGACATATAAGTGCCTATGAAACAGAGATGTGTTATTGAATTTCTCACTGTCGAACAAATTGCACTTATTGACATCCATCAACGCTTGCTAAAGGTGTACGGAGACGATACAGTGGATGTCAGCACAGTGAGGCAGTGGGTAGTGTGTTTCAACAGTGGCGAAAGTGAAGTGCATGACAAGCCACGCCCTGGGCGTCCCTGCTCAGCTGCCATTTCTCACAATGAACAGCACCTCGATCAGCTCATCAGTACAGACTGGCGGATAACGACCAGGGAACTGTCTGCACAGCTCAATATCGGCTGTAATGAATTGGAAACGATGCTGGGAAAGCTGGATCATCACAAAATTTGTTCCAGGTGGGTCCTGTGGATGCTTACACAAGACCACAAAACTCAGCGAATGGAAGTCTGTCACGACCTGTTGCACCAGCTGAAGGTGACACGTTTCTGGACAGCATCGTTACCAGAGATGAGACGTGGGGTCACCACTATGAGCCAGAATCCAAAAGACAGTCCATGGAGTGGCAACATCCAGATTCCCCTAGAAAAAAGAAGTTCAAGACATAGCCATCGGCAGGGAAAGTGATGTGCATGGTCTTCTGGGATAGGCGGGGTGTGATTTTGTTGGATTTCCTGGAGCCTGGTGAGACTGTCAATTCTGAACGCTACAAGATGATGCTGACTAAGCTGAAAGCCCACATTTCCCAAGTCAGGCCAGAGAAGCAGTCAACCTTTTGCTTGCAACACGTAATGCTAGACCCCATACCAGTTTGGCGACCACCGTGCACATTGCAAAGTTTGGCTGGACTGTCCTACCACATCCACCTTATAGCCCTGATTTAGCACCTTCAGACTTCCATCTCTTTGGGCCTATGGAAGATGGATTATGTGGGCAACATTTTCCAGACAACGATGCTATCATTGCAGCTGTAAGAAAGTGGCTAGCCTCTGATGGTGCAGACTTTTATGGGCACAGCATAGAGGCTCTTGTTCATCACTGGCAAAAGTGCATAACGAATAGTGGTGATTATGTGGAAAAATAACCGTAAGTAGCTGAAATCTTGCTCTATTTAACTGCATTATTATGCTTTCTGTATCTGTTGTAATATTCATTAACAAAAATAGGAGGCATTATACTATACGGAACGCTCCTCATAGTATAAAAACTAATCACATGATATATGATATAACTCTGTCCTAAGTGCAAACTATATTTATAGGTCTTTAGTCTTGTTCTCTATACACTACATGTTTCAGCCCTAAACGGCCATCATCAGGTGTATACATTCACGTATCTGTTACACTGCACTTATTTATAACATTTAAAATTTAAAAACATAGGTCTTC